GGGGGCGGGAAGAAAACAACAAACGGAAAACAGATCAAGATCACTATCCCTCTACTCGGCATCATCATCGCCGCCCTCTCCACTGTCATCTCCGAGAAATTCTCCTTCGGCGTCTGCGTCCCCATTGGCTTCTAGCGTCGCCGCATCATATCCGCAATTGATGCGAGCCTCCCGCACCTTCACCCGTGCCTCTTCATATGCAGCCTCAGTCACATTACCCGCTACCCACAAACTCTTGTATATATCCCGCTGGGCTTTGGTGTAAACCCAAAGCTCATGCATGTGGCGGGGAACGGTGGTGGAGGAAGATTCAATTTGAGCCAACAGTCCCTCATTTTCTGCCTCCAGTGCTACGACCCGATCTCCCAGAACCGATGCCTCTCGGTCAATCTCGCTAATGCGCTCCTCAAGACTTGCCTCTATAAGGGTAGCCGTCATTCTTTCCGACTCCTGCTCGGACTGGAGGACGCGGATGGTGTTCTCCAGGGCTGCCACCCTCGCCGAAGCCGCGGACCAAGCACTCTCGATGCTCTCCAATCCAACAACCTTGTTTTCCAACCCAGCCAATTTCCCCATCCACTCCACACTCAACACTTCGACCTTGATCAAGTTCTGATCCATCTCCGACTGCATCGACCTCAATTTCTCCTGCAGATGCTCATACTCTGCGGCGACCCCCTTGCCCAACTCAAGCTCCTCGTCCTTTATTCGAAGTTTCTCCTCAAGCACACTCTTGCTGCGGATAGCCTACATCAATTCCTGGTCCCTCTTCTCCAACTCCTCACCAAGAGCCCGATCACCGGGGTTTGCCTTTAGCCGCTCATGTATCTCACGACACTTGTTGCGGTAGCGATGATATTTCTCCAGCATCTTCAAGAAAATATTGGCCCGAATGTTGGCCCTGCGAATGATCTCCACCTACACCATATACGTCTAAAAAATGAAAAGACGGGTTAGAATCTTATCATCAAGAAAGATGAGGGAAAAGCGAAAGAAAGTGTAACATACCCTTAAGCCCATAACGACCACCTCGTCCATCAAGTCAGCATCGGGAACGGTCCGAATGGCCGCATTCTCGGTTGCGGAGCATAACATGTTGAACTACGGCACCAGATCCTCCATGTCTACCAGGAGATTAACATCCGAAGGGATATCAAGAATACGGGTTGGGCCTCCCGCACGAACCACCGAGTGAGTAATGCCCTCCTCAAACATCCTGACATCATCAGGGTTGAGGTCTGATTCGAATTCGTAATCGTCGACCACCATGCCTTTTCCTCTTTCAGTAGTTAAAGAGGAAGCACGACCAACTGCGGAGGACGAGGGTACATCCGAAACTACAACGGCGGCCCCAGAAATCTAACCTTCCGCCATGATAGGTTGCTGATCACCGACAATGGTTGGAATCTCTGATTGAGTCGAGGCAACGGCTGGCTCCATCCCTATGGGGGGGATGCGACAACCCCCTCTCCAGATCCCGTCGAAGGAGAGTCGTCTAGATGAATCACTGTTGGGGGTGCTGTTTCGAACTCCACTCGCTGTCTTTTTGATGGCCCCTCTTCTTCCCTAGTAGGCGGAGATTCACCCGTCGGGCGAACAACATGTGTCGGAACTTCAGCCCGAGAAGCGTCCCCACAGGAGTAACTACGGCCACAGACTCAACTGAAGCAGCCCTCGACAAAGGTCGGGTGGTGGGTACCGCGATAAGGCGAGTAGATGAGGCTGGTTGTCGGAAAGCTAATGGAGGAGACCTCACTCTCCGCACCCTCCCTGACACCGACGAGCTGCACGTGAGGAATTAAATACAAAGAGGGAAAGGAGAAAAATGGCGAACAGAAATGACATCTTACCAGAAAGAGGCCTGCACCCATACTTGTCATAGAAGGTCGCCTATGTGCGGACCCCACCGTATGAGGGAGAATAACGCTCACCCACTCACGGATACTTTCGACAGGTGGAGGAGGCAATTTCTCGGCTGCACTGACATAATAGGGTTTAAGACTGTAACGAAAAATGGTCGGATATATCTTCGACTAAAAGCATAAGACTTACGTGCAGAGTTCCATTTCTCAGGGAACCCCGTCGAATCTGCCACAATGTGCTCAGTCCGTACATAGAAATAATTCTCATAAAAATGATGGTTAGCCCTGTCGTCCATTTTCACCACCAGACTCTTCGAGCCCCGAGGACGCATGTGAAGCATCGTGCCATGGATGAGCTGAGGGGAGAAGATATTGAGCATGTGATCCAAGGTGATCTCACGACCGCCGAGTTCCGCAAACTTGAGCAACATAAGGAATAGCTTATACAGGTACGGTGAAAGTTGGGTGGGGCATACCTCATAAAAATGGCAGAAGTCTACCACCAGGAGAGAGAGAGGAAGTGTGCATCCAATAAGGAAGGGGTAGGCGTAAAATACGCAATACCCAGGACGATCAAAATGAACTATGTCGTTTCCTACCGCCGGTCGCATGTCGACGTAATCGGGGATCCCCCATATAGGTGTTTAACTCTGCATTGTCTTCTTCTCTTATAACAGAAGGGACAGGCTCTGGCTCCGCCCCAGCGCGACTGCTGAAGTGGGTAAATTCTCTCCCAGGGCGAGGCAAAATCTCAACTATCAACGGGACCTCCTCGTCTTCCACCGCATCTACCCCTCCAGTGGCTTGAACAACATTTTTCGGTGCCAGAATTGTGACAGGGAGATCGGTACAAGAGGAATCACCGGCTATTTTGTCGGGATGATGCGGCAAAAAGAAAACGGAAAGAAAGGATGAAAATTTTCAGTTAACTAAGGGCAAACAAAAACTTGGAGTGTCAGGAAGGAAGTATATCTGCAGAATTCTTTCGAGTAAAAGGCAAAGAAGTGTGTCAATAGAATGATAAGTTCCTTCTATTTATAAGAGACATAAATCCCCAGAGCACGAAACCCAAAAGTCGCTAATCGAACCTGATAGGGCACAAAACATTTCAGTTCCCCAGGAACGTGTGTCATAATGGCGGTAACCACGAAATAACGCTTTGATGCCAAAAGACGTTTCGGTTTCGAAACAGCTGCAATGGTCCACGAGTATCGAAAGAATGCCACCATCTCACCTAAAACCCAAGTAACGTAACTAAGGAACAAGAAGTCAAATTTCGCTCGAATTCATAGCAATCATGATCCGTTTGTCGGGCCCGATAGGGGACGACCCCGACAGGCGGAGGGACTAACTGTATTGGTCAAAATCTGACCATCACGGCCGAGCTGACTAACGTCCCGCCCAAGTGACCAGGCAGTAAAAGATAACATGGCCCACTCTACATCCCATTCTCGACACCCGTCGAGTCGGAAGGAGCAATGTCTAAAAAAATGACCAAGGCACACTTGGTGCGAGAGAGCGTCGGACCAAGTAAATGGCAAGGATGCCTTGACTATATATAGTAGGAAAAAACCCTCGATAGGGGGGCGGTCTCCTTCCCTTTCTCTCCCAAGCTCTCTTCTTGTAATCTTCATATGAAAGAAGTAATCTGCAGAAAAACATGTAAAGCTACCTCTCCTATCGATTGATGGGAGCCACAATGTTGAATTTCAATAAGATTGATTATATCTCTTTCATCCTATATACTATCTATTCTGTTAGCTCTTTGATCTGGAATTTATTATGTCTGACTAAGATTTACTCCTTCATTTTCTTTGATTGATTTATTCAAAAAAGTTCCGATATGTTTTGAGTCAAACAATATACAAAGAAGAAAAATTAAGTTGTGATACGCAATTTGGTATACATATTAATTGCTATGTTATATACTGTGATATACAAATAATAAAATTATTTTTATTGTGATATACATTGATATAGAGACAACAATAAATTTTACAAATTATGTCACACCTCCTTTTTTTCGAGGGATAGGGAGTTTTTTCAATTTAGGTGTCATTATTCGAAATGAGATTATTTATTATTCAGAGTCGCCACTTGGAATAATTTATGGTATCCCAAGTCACCGATTTATTTTAAATCCCAAATCGAGGAAGTTGGCTCTATTTTACGGTCCGCGAACACAGAAGATCTGGTAAGGAATTTTGTTAACCTGGGAGAAGGTGTGAGGCACTCTCGAGTTCCGTGGTTTTAGCACGGTCGCTCAACTATTAATAATTAGCCTAATTATCTGATTTATTACATGTGTTTAAACCTATTGTATATTTTTAAACTTTCTAACCGCTTTTAGTTAATTATCGCTTTTAGAATTTATGGAATTATTTCTTGAACAAGTTACGATGTCGTAAACTTATCGTTTTGGTACACATTACGAATCGCGCCACGTGAAACGCACCCGCAAGTTACAACATGTTATTTTTTATTATTGTTTGAAGTTATGGTCGAGTCACGTGAAACGCACATTCGAATTGGGAATTAGGTATCACGACCATGCCATGAAAACTGTACCCATATCCGTAATGATTTAATTTTAATCGCGCCTAAAATAAACTACAATGTTTGTAGGTGTTTTCCTAAAATACGTTTGAGATTTTATGTAAGATTGTGTTATGGCAAAGAATTTGCTGGAGTTGAGGTTATGATCATTATTTTTTTCAAAGACTAAATTCTTGATTCTTTTAAGTTAATCAGAACTAACGAAGATTTTGTTGACCAGGATTTTAAAACTATACATTTGATTGCACAAGAGAAAGTAATTTAGCTAAAGGAAACAATTAAAGACTTTAGGAATTCAATATTGAAAGAGGGAATCACGATACTTTGCAAAGATTGGAGCATATGACCCTTTAAGAGGTCACGCAGTCAAAGTGGGGTATGGATTGAGCCCAAGTCAAGATGGGCGTGAATTGATCCCAAAGCCAAGTTAGAATCCATTACTGGAATCGGGCTTAAACAAGTTAGAGGCCCAAGTTTGAAACATCACATAACTTCACATAAAATGTAGTACAGGAGGAATTTTCATCATTCAAAAACCACTGAGTAGCACGACATTAAACTTGCAGTATTGAATCAAAGATCACATTTCAAAGATAGCAAACATCATTAATAACTAAAGTCTACAGGAGCACAAAGAAAAACTTATTGATTCAACTAGCTAATATTTACAGAATCACGGTTTGGTCCGTAACTAATACAACAGGCTAAAATATTAAAGGAAATGCTTATTAACTACGAGCAGATGCGACAATTAAATTTTCCAGCCATGAAGTGTGGAATCCAATGTTTCTCAACCATATCTGCTCAAAATAAAACTATGGACTTAAGCTATTACACCAAGATTTCTGCAAATTCTGAGTTTACAATAATCAAACATCGTTTATACATAGTGGAACTAGGTGTTACCAAATTAAACTACATATTCTCATATTTTTTGGAATCAGACAACTCAACTCCAAACATCCAAGGCTTAAACAGATGAATCACATATAAACTGAACTTCCCAAATACTTTTGATTGTGATGTGATGCTTCTCACCTTTATGCAAACAACAAATGTGCTTATAGACTAAATGATTCTGAACACATGAATTTCACTTTTAGCAAGTAATAATAGGCAAAGTAATAGCCCTATCAATGCAGTAAAATATGCATATGCTTCAGGAAACCAAGCTTAAACAACAATCTTACTCTAGCTAGCATTATTATCTAAAACAAAGACTATGTCAAAGAGATAAGTTCAAATATGGACCCATCAGCTTACAAACAGACATGAAATCATGTAAGAACAATCAAACAGTCATAACTTCATATTAAAACAGAAAACTTTGATTATTCTAAAGATCAAAGTTGTACAGAATCATAGAGGTGTACCTAATTGCCAAAAAAACAAGAGAAAACCAGAAAATAAGTCTCTGAATCAGCAGGAATATCAGGAAGGTAACATCTTCATATCAGGAGCGCAAATCCAACAGTTCAACCAAAGGAAGAAACCCAGAAAAACCAGTGAAAACTTGAAGCCAAATGACCGTTGTTCCTCTTTCTATGCTTTGAAGAATTTGTAAAGTAAAATTTCCTACTGTTTTTCTTTCAATGTGAAGGGAAAATCAGCCTGTATGTAAGTGCTTTTTATATGTCTTTTAGAGAATTCTTCTGTATTTCGTGTGTGTGTGTGTGTGTTCAGAGAATTGGAGAGAGGGGATGAGGTCTTATATAGAGAGTGAATTCTATCATATGCTCAACAGAATGAGGAAAAATAAGAGAGGTGCGAGGGAATCTCTGGGAATTTTTTGTCAGCTAAAAATCAGGAGATAAAAATTTATTTTTAACAGAAATGGACAATTGTCCCTATTTCTAGAAGCTTCTTTTATTCCCAACCTCTGTTAAACTTTTTAACTTCCAATTCTTACCCCAACATTTAAACTTATTCCCTATTTTAGTGTATTTCCAACCAAACAAAATAGATTCCTCTATTTTTCCATTTCTTTTAGACCCCTTAATTTCAATAACTACAAATGACTATCACAACAACTTAGATAGCACAAACAAACAATATTCAACTTTTAAACTATTTTAAGTAATTAACTAATTCAACATGTAACCAACTGATTATGCACCTAATTAAAGCATGTGAACAAAAAATTAGTTTGGCCGGATTTAGGTAACAATCCGGCCAGAACAGAAAACCAAACGAAAATGATAAACAAAAAGATATTAATCCTAAAATCATGCAATTAACTTAAATAATCCTATTTTTAACGAACTTAATCAAATCAATAACCAAACCAATGAAGATTAATACCTAAATGACAATTCAACACAGAAAAAGAAATAAAGGGATATGAGAAGAAAGGTATACTGATTTTGGCTAAAAATGTGACGACAAATGAGGTAAACCAACGAACGATGATGACGACGAAGTTTGGCCGGTCAGTGGTGAGTTGGCCAAATTACGACGACTTCGAAATGAGACAAACTAATGTCAATCGATTGCTCTTGACAAGAGCAATCGGCTAACATAGGTTTCAGGCCAAAACGAGCTAGTATCGCCAATGAAATCAGAAGAGGGAAAGATTAGGTTTTTCTTTTTATTTTAGATCTGAAATTGGACAAGTTTGGTGGGGATTGTGGTTAAATTAGTGATGGATTAGGGTTGAGGGGAAGATGGGGAGTGTGTGATGTAATTTTAGGCGTGTTTGGAGATGGGCCGCCGCCGTGGGGCGATTTCCAGTGGTGGCGGATGATAAGGATTGAGAGGGGTGAGATTGATGGTCTGTAGGAGATTATTTGGGGGTAGGGGGTCTTCTCCAACATTTTTAAGGAGTGGAGAGACCAGTTCCAGTCGTAGGATTAGGGAATTTGAACGGTGGAGATTCAACGGCCCTTAAACGGTATCGTTTGGTTTGGGTTTGGGCTAGTTAAAAGGGAAACTGGGTTAAATAAAATAACCCAGTCCGATTTTGCAACAAAAATGACCCCTTTCTCTTCTTGCTCTCCTTTCTTTATTTTTCTTTCATTTTAAAATTCTATAATTTATTTTAAAAAAATCCTAATTAGATTCTATCTTAATCCTAATTTACAAAATTAACCTACTCATTATTTCTAATATTTAGATAATTAATTAACCTAAAATTAATGAAGGAAAAATTAATAATTTGAAACTAAGAGCTAAAAATATAAAAGCCTATGGTATTTTGTGATTTTTGTTTAATAATGCAATTAATTAATATTTAATGCAAATAAAAACCTAAAATGCAATGCATTTTTTTTGATATTTTGTGGTATTTCTTGTAATTTTAAAATATTAAATATGCAACTACATGCAAACAAAAATTAGCAAGAAATTCCTAAAAATTCTATAAAAAATTAAAATAATTAGAAAAATCCTATTTTATGAATTATGTAGGAATATTTTAGTAGCCGAAAATCACGTGCCCACAAATAATATTTTAGATATATATATNACATTTTGATATATTGTAACGACCTGGCTGGTCGTTTTGAGAATTAATGCCCCAATCCCCTATTAACTACTTTTTCTTTGTTTGTTTCTGCTATTGTGAGTTGCCGGGAAGATTTGTTTTGAGTTTCAGAGTATTTTGGGACATTTAGTCCATAAATGAGAGCTTAAGCTTTATAATTTGGACCGTAGTCGGAGCGGTGTGAAGACAACCTCGGAATGGGATTCTGTCGATTCTGTTAACTCCGTTGGGCGATTTCGAGCTCAGGGGTATGTTCGGATTGTGTTTTGGAGGTCCGTAGCTTATTTAGGCATAAAATGCCAAAAATTGAATTTTTGAAGTTTCCGGATCGATAATGAGATTTTGATATCAAGGCCGGAATCCGATTTTGAAAGTTGTAATAGTTCCGTAGTGTTGAATGTCACTTATGTGCAAAATTTAGGGTCAATCGGACGTGGTTTGATTGGTTTCGGCATCGGTTGTAGAATTCTTGAGATTTCAAGTTCATTAGGCTTGGATTGGAGGGTGAAGCATGATTTCAACATTGTTTGATGTGATACGAGGGTTGGATTAAGTTCGTATGGTATTTTAGGATTGGTTGGTATGTTTGGTTGAGATCCTGGGGGCCTCGGGTGAGTTTCAGATGCTTAACGGACTTGATTTGGACTTAGGCAAAATTCTGAAGTTGGATGCTTCTGGTATTTTCACACCTGCGGTGGCCGATGGGGAGCCCGCAGAAATGAGGAAGGAAGTTGTAGGTGCAGTAATGGGCAGGAAGACCAGTGGTCGCAGATGCGACTCAAGAATCGCAGAAGCGGAACCGCATCTGCGAAGAATTGACGCAGGTGCGGTGTTTGAGGATTTAATGAAATTCCACAGATGCGGAGCCCTGGCCGCAAAAGCGGGACCGCAGGTGCGGTCCAGGGAGTGCAGATGCGAGCATCGTTGGGTAAAAATATGTAAAATTGAGGGTTTGAGTTAATAACTTCAAAAATCAAATTGGAGCTCAGTGAAAGGCGATTTTGTTGGGTTTTTGAAGAGAAGATCAGCGGGTATTGATTCCTAACTGCTTTTTGATTATATCCCATTAATCTAAGATTAGTTTTATCATTTAATTTCGGATTTGGGGTGAAAAATTGGGAAGAATTAAGAAATGTTCTTAGGCCAAATTTTGGGATTTGGATCGAGATTTTGGTATCTGATTTGAGTGATTTTGGTATGGTTAAACTTGTGAGTGAATGAGTATTCATAATTTGTGATTTTTACCCGACTCCGAAACGTGGGCCTGGAAAGGAGTTTTGGGCATTTTTCTATTTTCTTGCCTTAGCTTCGATTCCTTTAGCTAAACTCGTTGTTTGTAGTTATATTTACATTATGAAATTGATTTGATTAGATTTGGGCCACTCGGAGTTGGATACTCGTGGCAAGAGCGTGATATCAGATTGATTTTGAGCTGGTTCAAGGTAAGTGGCTTGCCTAACCTTGTGTGGGGGAACTCCCCTTAGGATTTTGGTACTATTGTTATATGAATGTCGTGTACGTGAGGTGACGAGTGCGTACCCGTGCTAATTGTTGAAAAACTCTATTTTCATTAAATACTTATCTATGTTTCTCCTTTAATTGAACAATACTAGTATGTGAAACCTTCTGTTTAGCTTAGAAAGAGCATGCTTATGTGACTTAACTATCTTACCTGCTTTAACTGCTTACTTGAATTTTTGCGTAGCATGTTTAGAGTAGAACTTTTTTTGTTTTCCTAATTCGAACTTGAATAGAATTGTAGGATTCTTTCTTGGAACTGTTGTGTATTTACTTTGGGACTACGGATCGGTATTCCGGGAGATCCCCCTGCACATTAGTAATTGGGACTACAGTATGATATCCTAGGAGATCCCCCTGTATTGGATATTTACTTTGATACTGCGGATCAACATTCCGGGAGATTTCCCTACATATTTATGATTCGGACTACGGGACGATATCCCGGGAGATCCTTTGCATATTTATGTTTGGGACTACGGGACGATATCCTGGGAGATCCCTTGTTGCTATCTCTGTGTACTGAGTTATATTCTCTCTGTGATTTTATTCTTGATCGACTGTTAGAATTTTAATTATACAGTCACATTTCATATTGTTTTGCCTTGTTTTATTTATATAAACAGTAGAGCCCTTACCTTCTTCGTCACTACTCAATCGAGGTTAGGCTTGGCACTTACTGGGACCGCTGTGGTGTACTCATGCCCTTTCCTGCATATGTTTTTCGTGTGCAGATCCAGGTTCTACTTCTCAGCCATACTTTCAGTGAGGCGAGGCAATTTCAGAGACTTCGAGGTATTTCTTCCGCGTCTGCAGACCGAGAAGTCTCTCTTATTCTCCCTTTTAGCTATAGATCTTCTATAATTACTTTTGTTTAGACTTCTGGAGTTAGAACACTATGTATTTTTCTAGTTTGTGATTCATGAGATTCTGAGTTTTGGGAGTGTTATTATTGGTCGAGAGTGTTATTATTATATATGCCGATCGACATTTTAAACACTTTATCTATATTTACCTGTTAGATGGCTAGTTGTACTTTTAAATTCCTTTTTCCGCAAACTATTAGGCTTACCTAGTCGTAGGGACTAGGTGCCGTCACGACAGTTCACAGAGGGAGAACTTGGGTCGTGACAAGTTGGTATCAGATCTCTAGGTTCATAGGAGTCATGAATCACAATTCGGTTTATTAGAGTCTCGTGGATCAGTACGGAGGCATCTGTACTTATCCTCGAGAGGCTATGTAACTGTTAGAAAAATTCCACTTCAATTGATTCCCTTGTCGTACGAGATTTTTGATATCAAAATTCTAAACCTCTGTTTTCTATTCTCTCACATATGGTGAGGAAACGTGCTACCGGAGGTGACCAGGCACTCACGCCCCCTGCTAGGGCCACCAGAGGTCGAGGCCGGGGTAGAATCCCAGGATGTGCACATGGCACAACCAGAGCACCCGTACGAGCTGCCACAGAGGAGCCACCAGTAGTCCCAGCCGGAGCCCAGGAACCTGATACGCCTACTGCTACTACTACTCCAGCTCTTTAGGAGACCCTTGCATAGTTCGTGAGCATGTACACCACTCTAGCTCAGGCATGGTTGATTCCCCTTGCTGCAGCCACATCCCAGGCTGGGGGAGGAGCATAGACTCCCGCCTCCTGCACCCAAAGCAGCGGGTCCAAGTTGATTAGATCCCAAAGGTTATACCGGTACCTCCTGTAGCCCCAGTTCAGCCCGAGGACAGGGCAACAACTTCAGAGGATGAGCAGCAGAGGTTTAAGAGGTTGAAGAAATACAAGCCTCCTACATTTAGTGGTCTAGCATCAAATGATGCTCTGGGATTTCTGGAGGAGTGCTACCGTATCCTCCGTACTATGGGTATATTAGGATCAAGTAGGGTTTCTTTCATTGCCTTCCAGCTTTGAGGAGCAGCCTATCAGTGGTGGCGTACTTTTGAGTTGGACAGTCCAGTTGAGGCAACTTCCTTTACATGGACCTAGTTTTCAGATATGTTCTTGAGGGA